CGTAAAAAAATCGAGAAATCGAAAAATCAAAAATCGAGAACACGAGCAATTGAAAATTGGGAAACTGAAAACGGAAAATTTGAGAAAAAGAGGAATATAAAAATTGAAAACTCAAACCATTGAAAATTGGGGAAAATTGGGGAATTAAAACCGAAAAATTAAAAAAAAAAGAATCTAAAAAGTGAAAAATTCAAAAATTGCTAAACTATAAAATTGACAACAAAAAAATTGCAAAATCGTAAAGTTGGAAAATCGAAAAATCGGAAAATTGAAAAATTAAACAAACAAAAAATTGAAAACTCCAGAATTTGAAAATCAATTAATTAAAAATCGAAAAATTGGACAATCTATGAAGTTAAAAAACAGAGTTTCTCAAAATGACAAATTTAAAAACTACAAAATTATAAAATTGCTCTAATAATGTTTATTTATGTGTAAGCAACATTTTAATTATTCCAGATTTTTGAATTTTTAAAGGCTCTTCCCATTTTTCCAATTTTTCAATTATCCCATTTTTTGGGTTTTTAGTTTTTCGATTTTTACTTTGCAGTTTTTCGATATTCAGTTTTTAGTTTCATACCTTTTCGTTTTTTCAATTTTTATTTTTTCTTAATTTTTCGATTTGTCAGTTTCATAATTTTCAGTTTTGTCGATCTTGTATTTTTGCGAATTTTCAATTTTTCGTCTCTCCAATTTTTTCATTAGAAGTTTTTAGATTTAAAAAAAAACAGAATTTCCAAAAATCTCTTCGATTTCGGAAAATTTTTCAAAATTTCGATTGAAACAAAGTGAAAAATCGAAGAATCAAAAATTGAAAACTCGAACCATTGAAAATTAGGAAACTAAAAACCGAAAAATTGAATTTAAATTACTTAAAGTAATAAAAAATAAAAAAATTGGACAATCTGTGAAGTAAAAAAACGGAATTTCTAAAAATGAAAAATTTAGAAACTGCAAAATTATAAAATTGAAAACGGAAAAATTGGAAGTTCGAAAAATCAAAGAATCAAAAATTGAATACTCGAATAATTAAAAACCGCAATATTATAAAAATAAAGAAAATAAAAACCCGAAACGAAAAATTGCAAATTTGTTCTGTGTTGAAAAATTAAAAACATTATAAATCTGGAAGTTAAAAAATCTGTGAAACTTTAACATCAAAAAATTGAAAAACTGAAAAATTGCAGTTTCGAAAAATTGACGAAACAAGGCAAAGGAACAAAAATTGAAAACTCAAAAAAATCACAAATTGAGAGAATAAAAATCGAAAACTTAAAAAAAATTTAAACTTCTAAAAATTGAAAATGTGAAAATTTGCAAAGAAAACGCGAAAAATTGAAAAAGCTAATACATAGTTGAAAACTCGTAAAATTGAGAATTGAAAAACCGAAAAATCAAAAGTTGAAAACTCGAGGAATTGAAAATTGGGACATTTGAAACCGAAAAATTGAAAAAAAGTTGAATCTAATTGGAAAATTCAAAAATTGCTAAACTATAAAATTGAAAACTAAAAAATTTCAAAATCCTAAAATTAAAAAATCGAAAAATCGCAAAATCGAAGAATCAAAAATTGAAAACTTGAAAGTTGAAAATTGGAAAATTAATGACCGAAAAATTGAAAAAAGAGGAATCTAAAAATTGAAAAATTCAAAAATTGCCAAACCATACAACTGAAAACTAAAAAATTTCAAAATTGTAAAATTGAAAAATCAAAAAATCGAAAAATCGAAGAATAAAAAATTGAAAACTCGAGGAAACTGAAAATTAGGAAATTAAAAACCGAAAAATTGAAAGAAGAATCTAAAAATTGAAAAACTCAAAAATTGCCAAACTATGAAATTGAAAACCAAAAAATTGCACAATCGTAAAATCGAAAAATCAAAGAATCAAAAATTGAAACTCAAACCATTGAAAATTGGGAAATTGAAGCCGAAAAATTGAAAAAAAGAGGAATCTAAAAATTGAAAACTTAAAAAATTGCTAAACTATAAAATTGAAAACTAAAAAATTGAAAAATCGTGAAGTTGAAAAATGGAAAAATTGAAAAGTTGAAAAATCGATGAAGTATAAAAACAGAACTCCCAAAAATTGAAAAATTTAAAAACTGCAATATTATCAAATTGAAAAATAGAAAAATTGCAAAATCAAAAATTAAAAATTCTATAAGCTCAAAGATGGAAAACCCGAAAAAGCAAAATCAAAAAATTTGGAAACCGATAAAAGAAAAAACAAGATCTTAAAATTGAAAAATCTAAAAATTGCAAAATTGTAGATTTGGAAAATAGAAAAATAGTAAAATTTAAATGTTCAAAAATCGAAAAACTGCAAAATTGAAAAATCTAAAAATTGGAAAAGCGAAAAATTGAGAAATCGGTATAGCGAAAAAAATAAACGACCAAAAAATGGAACGTTAAAAAATTTCGAAATTGGAAAGTTTGAAAAATCGAAAAATAAGGGAAAAAGAAAAAATTAAAAATTAAAAAACTGAAATATTGATAAAAGTGAAAAAACGATGCAACCAAAAATTGAATAATCGAAAATTTTGAAAAATCGAAAAATTAAAATATCTGAAATTTGAAAACAAAATTGAAGGAACAAAAAATTGAAAACTCAAAAAACTGAAAAATCGATAAAAACTGCAAAATTTAAAATTTGAAAAATAAAAAAAAATCGAAGTCTGAAAGATCGAAACATTGAACAAAATAAAAATTGAGAAATCGATAAAATGCAAAAATTCTTAAAATTGAAAAATCGAGTTGTAAATTCGTATAATATGTGAAAAATAGAAAAATTGTAAAGACAAAAAATTTAAAAGAACAAACGACTAAAAAAGAAAATATCGAAAAATTTCGAAATCGGAAAGTTTGAAAAATCGAAAAATAGAAAAAACGGACAATTGAAAACTGGAAAAATTAAAAATTAAAAGACCGAAAAATCGAGAAGGTGAAAAAAAGATGCAATTAAAAATCGAATAGCCGAAAAATTTCATAATCGGCAAATTTGAAACATCGTAAAATTAAAAAATCTAAGTGTTGAAAAATAAAAATGTTGAAGAAACAAAATTGAAAACTCCGAAAATTAAAAATAAAAAAGCTTAAAAAAGCTTAGTTTGTATTATGTATTGTATTTTCCATTGAAAAAATTAATTAAATAAACACTGAAAACTTAAAAAATTCCAAAATTGATAAATTGATAAGATGAAAAATTACAAAGTCGACGAAAAATTGAAACCGAAAAATAATAAATATCCAAAAATGGACTTATTGAAAAATCTAAAAACCAAGAAATTGTTAAATCGAAAACCGAAAAAATCTTCAAAATTGAAAAATCATCGTCAATTAAAACAAATGCTTTGACCACACGATGTAAGCAATAAAATTCGAAGTTGTATCAATTTGAATTTGGCGCCGATGCGCCGTGTTGTGATTGGTTGTCACAGATTAGGAAAGAAATTAGTATATGTTAGGTCAGGTTAGGTAACGTCAAGTTGAATTGGGTTAGGTGAGGTCAGATCCGGCACTCAAACCCAAAAACAGATTAAGGAAACATTTTCTTGCCATCTTATAGTAGATTACCATCATTATATCTTAAATCTTAAATAAATACTTTTTAGAAATACTGTGATTTTGTTAGAACGATTTTATTTGATTTATTTATGTGTTCCATTGTACACTATTAAACAAAGTGATGTTAGAACCTTTTTAATGCTATGATCGATTGTGCCAGTAAACATTAAAATCCACCTCTACCATTAGATATAATTATAGGAAAATAATTTAACCCGCTCGTGTTTTCTTTAACATATAGGATACCAATAATTAATAGATTTTTCATTTTTTTCCTAAAACCATAATAACCAACAGTGATTGCCGTACATTACAAAATTTGATTTACTCGTTTCTTCTAAAAAACCGACGCCATTTCAAACAAAAATAAATAAATGTGTAAAAAATGTGTTAAAAAAACAATCTTGTATATTTAGTGTGCTTTTAATTATGACAACAGCTTCAGAAATGTCTTAAAAAAATAAATGCTTGTACTAATTTTCTAGAAATATCACCAATGTAGTTGTAAAAATAAATGACCGAACCAATTTATTTTATAAATCACTGTTGCAATTTATTAATATTATTTTTTAGAAACAAGAAAAATAAATAAGCATAAATAAAATTCTCGTTAATAACCCTCGCAACTATGTTGTTGTGTAAATTGAGTACTAAATTTGTACATTTTTGAAATACCGACAATTCTTTTTTAAAAAAATCGTCCGATTTTATCAACAAAGTATTTATCACAAGTTGTCGGAAGGTTTGAACTACTAGAGTGGACAAACTTATCTCCACATCAGTACGTCAAAGTTAACTAGCATCTGACGAAATTTGGGAACAATATTTCACAACAAAACAAGTAGTAGGCGGTGACGTTAAATACTCGAACTGAAGATACATTCCGTCCGGAGGTCAAAATTTGTTGACGTTAAAATGTGGGTAAATGGCACATTTATCTCGGATTACTTATAGCACAATTAAAAAGTAGTTAAAAATATAAACACATCCAGTCTCGCTGGTTTCTCACTAGATTTATTTAATGATAGAATTGTTAAATTGTAGAGTGCCTGAAACTAGTGCATCGTATTTTTTATTTTTTTTTAAACCGATAAGTGTTTATTTTTTTGACACGTATTTTTCCACATCGAGCCGAAATCTCCAACTGTTTATTTACTATTCTATTTTCGAAGATAAAATCAAACGTGACAAAACAAGCCGAGGAGATAAATCTGTCTCTGACATTTCCCGCACGTTTGAAACGCGATTATTTATCGAATCAATAACTAAATTGACTCCGACAACACCATCAAAGTACACTTATTACGGGTTAAAAATAGCCGGCAAAGTAAATTCCCTAAATAAATGATCGCCGTGTCTGGAGCTCTCTGAATAAAACAAAACATTCAAAAAACACCCCGAATTCCTCCCGTTTTACTTAATTCAAGCACTTACCTAACTGTCAAAATGCTTGTAGAAAAATCCCCCAGAGAAAAGTTGTGCGTTTCTTGCAAGGTGCATCACAAATAAATGTTTCCAAAAATTCTCTAAGCACATTTATAGGTTGCGTTCGGCTAAGAATTCTCTAAATTTAGACTACGTTAAGGTTCTTATTTAACAAGGGCACTTTGTCATGAAGAGAGTCTGGTTCGTTTCGGAGAGGAGAGTGTCGAAATGTCATGGCAAGATTCGATACACAAAGACCAAGAAAGCTAGAAGTGGAGTACCGAAGTTGAAACTGCTTCAGTTCAAGTGAACATCACCGGTGGGCATTTAGCATGCGCTGCTGGTATATTGATCAAGCTCGATGGATTTTTGTGTGAAGTCGCTTTGGCCGTTCGGCGGCGGCATGGGAGGTGAGAATAGGTAGGTTTTTAGCAAAAAAAAATAGAAGCAGTGGACTACGGCGACTTTTAGTATGCACAAAGGGCTCAGTGAGGTGGATTTTCCCTTTTGGTTTTTTTACCGGAAGTTGGAGCGCATTCAGACAATTTCTAGTGCAGTTTTGAGAAAATAGACACAATTGTTTTGGAAAAAAAAAGTGCCAGGCCTTCTGCTCAGCTGATTATCATGTTTTAATAATGATGGACAAGGTCGTGAAGATTAGATCTTAAACTCGTGCTAATAAAATTAAAACAAGTTGGTTAAAAATGCATGATGTGGTTTTAATTTGTACGTGAGTTATTAATCTATTTATAAATAGAACAGCATGTTAAGAGTCGACGTCACAGGCTATATAGATAAAATTGAAACTCGCAGTGAATTTATTTGTTGGGATTTATAATCAGTTACCATTAGAATAATGTATAAATAAAATATCATAGAAAAAGTAAAATATAAGAAAAAAATATGAAAAATATAACTGTAACAAAAAATTTAAATAGCATGTATCATGCAAAATTTTAAGGTGAGGGTAGATTATCTTCTAATAAACATCAACACAAACAACAGACGACAGACATACAGACGGAAACAGCAGATCTATTTTTTCATACCATAGGATCATGAAACGTCGAGAAAATATGAAAGTAGCTATTCGTCAAACGGATAAAATACCAAAATAGGAGAAGTTTTAGACCATGGGTGCATATCGTCTGGTGAGACAGAGCGTTAAAAATTTAGGCAGAAGCCCGAAAGGCTGAAATTTTACTTCATTTAAAAGTATAGAAAATTTGGCGCTTCTGGAAAATTACTGTTTTCCAGATTATTCAACCCGCCCCTGCACCTCACTTGTCTTTGAAGTAATTTGAAAGAATCTCGAGAATCCCTTATTTTATTTTTCAAGTAATTTTAAAGAATCTCTGAGATCTTTCTGTGAATTATTTTTGAAGCAATTTATTAGAATCCGGGAACCGCTTGTGTTTTGCTTTTGAAGTAGTTTGAAAGAATCTCAAAGATACCTTGCTTTGTTTTTGAAGTAATTTGAAAGGATCTCGGAAATCCATATGTGAGTTATTTTTGAAGCAATTTATTGGAATCTCGGGAGCCCCTTGGGTTTTGTTTTTGAAGAAGCTTGAAAGAATCTTGAGAATTTCCTGTGGATCTCGTTTTTAAAGTAATTTGAAAGAATCTTAAAAAAACACTTGCGTTTTATTTTTGAAGTAATTTGAAACAATCCCAAAGGCCCCTTGTCTTATTTTTAAAGTAATTTAGAAGAATCTCGGGGACCCCTTTATGTATTGTTTTTGAAGTAAATTGCTAGAATCTCGGGGACCCCTGTGTTTTGTTTTTGAAGTAGTTTGAAAGAATCCCAGAGGTCAATTTTCTTATTTTTAAAGTAATTTGTAAGAGTCTCGGGGACCTCCTACAGATCTTGTTTTTGAAGTATTTTGAAAGAATTTCTGAGACGTTTTGTATTGTATTTTTGAAGTAATTTGAAAGAATCTAGAGCATCTTTTTTTAATTATTTTTGAAGCAATTTATTAGAACCTTAGGGACCCATTGTGTTTTGTTTTTGAAGTAGTTTGAAAGAATCACAGATATACTTTTTGTTTTTTATTGGTATGAACTAATCTCTAAGGATATTTTTGTTTTGTTATCGAAATAGTTTGAAAGAATCTCGGCGATATCTTACTTTGTTTTTGAAGTAATTTGAAAGAATCTCGGGGGTCCCTTGTGTTTTGTTTTTGAAATAGTTTGAAAGAATCTTGAGGACCTTCTGTGGGTCTTGCTTTTCAAGTAGTTTGAAAGAATTTCTGGGACGTTTTGTGTTTCATTTTTAACGTAATTTGAAAGAATCTCGAGAATCTCCTGCGGATATTGTTTTTAAAATAATTTGAAAGAATCTTAAAGACCACTTGTAATTTTTTTAAGTAATATGAAAAATCTCGGGAATCCTTCTGCGTATTGTTTTTGAAGTAGTTTAAAAAAATCGCGAGGACAACTTTTGTTTTGTTTTTGAAGTAGTTTGAAACAATCCCAAAGGTCCTTTGTCTTATTTTTAAAGTACCTAATTTGAAAGAACCTCGGGGATCCACTTATGTTTATTTTTTTAAGTAATTTCAAAGAATCTCGGGAATCATTCTGTGTATAGTTTTTGAAGTAATTTAAAAGAATCTCTCAGATCCCTTGTCCTACTTTTAAAGTAATTTGTAAGAATCTCGGGGACCTCCTACAGATCTTGTTTTTGAAGTAGTTTGAAAAAATTTCTGGGATCCGTTGAATGGTTTTTGAAATCATTTGAAATAATTTCAAGGTCCTTTCGGTGAATTTATTTTTGAAGCAATTTATTGGAGTCTCGGGGGTTCCTTGTGTTTTGTTTTTGAAGTAGATTGAAAGAATCTCGAGGACCTCCAGTGGGTCTTGCTTTTGAAGTAGTTTGAAAGAATTTCTGGGACGTTTTGTGTTCCGTTCTTAACGTAATTCGAAAGAATCTCGAGAATCTCCTGTGTATCTTGTTTTTAAAGTAATTTGAAAGAATCTTAAAGACCACTTGTGTTTTATTTTTAAAGTAATTTGAATCTCGGGAATCCTTCTGCGTATTGTTTTTGAAGTAATTTAAACAAATCTCGGTGACGTATTCTGTTTTGTTTTTAAAGTAGTTTGAAATAATCTCGGGAATCCTTCGGTGTATTATTTTTAAAAAATTTATTAGGATATTGAGGGCCTCTACAGTTTTGTTTTTGAAATAATTTGAAAGAATTTCGGGGAACCCTTGCGTTTTTTTTTTAAGTAGTTTGAAAGAATCACGGATAACCCTTTTTTTTAATTTGTTTGAAATAATCTCTGGGACTGCTTTTGTTTTGTTTTTGAAGTAGTTTGAAAGAATCTCGGGGTTCCCTTGTCCTATTTTTAAAATAATTAATAATCTCTGAGGTCACTTTTGTTTTGTTTTTAAAGTAGTTTGAAAGAATCTCGGGGATCCTTGTGGGTCTTGTTTTGAAGTAGTTTGAAAGAATTTCCGGTACCTTCTGTGTGTTATTTTTGACATAGTTTGAAATAATCTCGGGGAACCCTTGTGTTTTGTTTTTGAAGTACTCGTAGTTTGAAAGAATCTCGGGGGATTCCTGTACGTCTTGCTTTTGAAGTAGTGTTAAAGAATTTCTGGGACTCATTTTTAACGCAATTTGAAAGAATTTCGAGAATCTCCTGTGGATCTTGTTTTTTAAAGTAATTTGAAAGAATCTTAAAGACTACTTGTGTTTTATTTTTGAAGTAATTTGAAAAAATCTCGAGAATCTTTCTGTGTATTATTTTTGAAGTCATTTAAAAAAAATCTCGAGGACTTTTCGTGTTTTGTTTTTGAAATAATGTTTAGTTTCAAAAAATTCCAGAGATTCATTGTTTTGTTTTTAAAATAATTTTTAAAAGAATGTCGGAGACCTTCTTATGCTTTTTTTAAATACTTTGAATGAATGTCCGAAATCCCTTGTCTTACTTTTAAAGTAATTTGAAAGAATCACGGGGACCCCTTTTGTTTTGTCTTTGAATTAGTTTGAAAGAATCTCGGGGACCTACTATGGGTCTTTCTTTGGAGTAGTTTGGAAGAATTTTTGGGACCTTTTGTGTTACATTTTTGACGTAATTTGAAAGAATCTCTTGGATCCCTTCTCTTGTTAATGAAGTAATTTAAAAGAATCTCGGATATCTTTCTGTGAATTGTTTTTGAAGCAATTTATTAGAATCTCGGTGGCCACGTGTGGTTTGTTTTTGAAGTAGTTTCAAAGAATATGGTGGACCTTCTACGAGTCTTGCTTTAGAAGTAGTTTGAAAGATTTTGTGGGACATTTTGTGGTTCATTTTTGAGGTAATTTGAAAAAATCTCGAGAATCCTTCTGTGTATTGTTTTTGAAGTAATTTAAATCTCGGGGACGTCTCCTGTTTTGTTTGTTGAAATAGTTTGAAATAATCCCAGTAATTTGAAAGAATCTTTTCAAATCATTTTCTAAGTAATTTCAAAGAATTTTGGGGTCTCCTTGTGTTGTGTTTTTATGTAGTTTGAAAGAATTTCGAAAACAACTTGTGTTTTGTTTTTGAAGTATTTGAAAGAATCTTAAGAATCTTTCTGTGTATTATTTTTGAAATCATTTAAAACAAAAACATTGAATTGTTTTTGAAGCAATTTATTAGAATTGCGGTGACCAAGTGTGTTTTGTTTTTGAAGAAGTTTAAAAGAATATGGTGGACCTCCTGTGGGTCTTGTTTTTGGAGTAGTTTGAAAGAATTTGTGAAACCTTTTGTGGTTCATTTTTGAGGTAATTTGAAAGAATTTCGAGGACCTCTTCTAGGTTTTAATTTTGGAGTAATTTGAATGAATCTTGAAGACCACTTGTATATATTTTGTTTTTGAAGTAATTTGAAAAAATCTCGGGAATCCTGTGTATTGTTTTTGTTTTCGAAGTAGTTTGAAAGAATTTCTGGGACCTTTCGCATTTCATTTTTGAAGTAATTTGAAAGAATGTCGAGGATCTTTCTGCGAATTTTTTGGAAGCAATTTATTAGAATCTCGGAGGCCACTTGTTTTTAAGTAGTTTGAAAGTATGTCAGGGCTCCATTGTCTTATTTTTTAAGTAATTTGAAATAACCTCGGTTACCCCCTTATGTTTTGTTTTTGAAGTAATTTCAAAGGATCGTGGGGTCTCCGTGTGTCTTGTTTTTGAAGGAAATTGAAAGAATCTCGAAAACCACTTGTGTGTTGTTATTGAAGTTATTTGAAAATACTCAGGAATTTTTCTATGTATTATTTTTTAAGTAATTTAAAACAATCTTGGACACCTCTTGTGTTTTGTTTTGAAG